CGGGCGGCGGCGGCCCCCTCGCTCAGGCCGCGCCGGCCCCCCCGCCAGAAGGTGCAGTTTCCGGAGCTCGGGCGACACCGGGCCACGGGGCGGGAGCCCAGAGGGCAGGGCCTTGCCCGGTCACACAGCACACAGCACGGAGGCGAAGCGGGGGACCGGTCTCCTCCTGGGCTGCGGGAAGGGGCAGGGCGCGGCCCGCGTGAGCCTGACTGAGGCCGCCCAGGACGGCGACGGCGGAGGCAGGTGGGGGGCCCGGGCCCCTCGTCCCCGCTGCTTCCGCGGCAGCCAGCGGGGCATCCTCTAGCTGAGACGCTGGCGCCCCGAAGCCCTACGCCTGCCATCGCCGCCTCCTGTCTCTCCGGCCTCACCCCCACGCTCGGGCTCTTTCCTGCCTCCCGTCCCTGTCACAGGCTGCGGCCTATCATGGCATTCCCGCCCAGCTCCAAGCATGAGCCCCCTTTCGGTCTACCTTGGGGTACCCAAGGGCCCAGGTTCCTCAGGACAGCTGCCTGCGTGTGTTCTGCCCCCCAACCCTCGGCAGCATGCCCTTCTGGCCTGGTCCTCGGGCCCCCCTTGGGAACCGCAGGCACTGAGGGCCGGAAGCCGGGGTGCAGAGGTTAATGGAGGCAGTGGGGTGCGCCGGTGGGGAGGAGCCCCATCTCCTCCTGCCTGGACAGCATGACAGATCAAAGCTCGGGCTTTATGAGCCGCGGGGTGTTGGCCGGAACAAACCGGGGTGGGTTTGGGACTGACGCTGGGATCCCAAGACCCCTGGCCTTGAGGGGCTGGGCCGAGGGTGGCTGGCAGGTCCCTGGGGAGGGTGCCCGCTGGGCGCCCAGTACAGGGTTCACTCCCAGCAGCCTCAGAGGTAGATGGGGAAACCGAGGCTCAGGCCAGATGACTCGCCCAAGGCCACACAGCTGGCCAGTGGCCAAGCCAGGATTAGACCCCAGCGTGGTTGACCCCATAGGCTTCCAGTGAGCCCAGTGGGGGCTGCTCTGAGGTGCCAGAGGACAGGGGGCCTGGGGGCTGTGGTGGGGACACCCTGGGCTCTCAGGGCTGGAGTCAGGGGACAGTATTCATTGTGTGTTTCCCGCAGGGGTCGGGGAGGGAGTGGGCCTGCCTTCCCCAGCCTGGGGCCATATCCTGAGCCTGCATGGGGCTCTCTGTCTCCGTCTGCACCCCTCCGTCCCACCCCTAAGCTCCCCCAAGCACCTGCATCACACAGAACCACCGCCTCCCGCCACACCTTCCCCCACACCTTCCCCGCTGAAGTCTGGGCCCCGCCTGGGTCCCTGGCCCACCCTCCCCTCCGGGTCCCACGGGTTCCCACAGGGCGGCTGTGAGGACAGGAAGACTTGGCACTGGGAGGCTGGACGCTCCACCCCACAACCAATGAGCCAGGCCAAGCCACCCCCGCCCGTGGGCCCCAGGGAGAGGCAGACACGGACCTAAGCCCACTCCTCAGCCAGGACGAGCCCCAGGAGCTCCCCCGCCCCTCGCTCAGCCTGGGCTGGGCCCAGAGGGGCTTCCCCTGTCCTGGCCTGCAGGTGCGCCCTGCCGAGCCGAGCCGAGCCGTGCGGACCCCTCCCCTCCTGCCCTCCACTGGCGTGTCCGCTCCCGGCCCAGCCCCAGCAAGCGAGGCTGACATCCTGCAGGGCCATCCATCCTCACCTCCTGCAGAGGGCGGACCAGCCGGTTGGGAGGTTCTGTGGCCCCAGCTTCCCAAGCTGACCAGACCACGCCCTCAGTGAGGGTGTCCGGGACCCTGCGCCCCACCTCCGTGTGGGCCAGGCCTGGCAGGGAGGCCCCGTCACCCCGGGGGCCAGTTCAGCTGGGGAAACCGAGGCCTGCTGTCAGGAAGCTGCGGCCGGCTCCTTCCCTGCCGGGGCCACCCACCAGTGCTTTCTGGGGCGGATTTTAATTAAGCCAGTTTGTAATTACCCAACTGCATCTACTTAATAAAACACCAGGGAGTTTTAATTTTTTTTGCCTTATTTAAAAATTTCATCATCGCCTGCCGACAGGAGAGGGGTCCTCACAGAGCCGGCCTGTGAGCCTGGTTCTGGGCTCAGGAGGGGTCTTGGGGAACCGGCTGGCAGAGAGGGGCACCGGGCAGCCCCATGCCTGCCCATCCTGGGTGTCCCCACGCCACCCGATTGTCACTGCCACCTGGGTAGTCTCTGCTCCGGGATACCCTCCAGGGTCTCAGGCCCCACTCCTCTGCCTGCAGCCCCACCCGCCTGCCCTTAGCAGGCTGCAGGCCAGACGAGACATCGAGACATCCGCTTACTTTTTCAGCGGAGACATAGCACGTGCAAAGGCCCCGGGGCCTTCTGGGAGTGGCGGGCAGGGTGAGGGTGGGGGCATGGCCAGGGTGCGGGGCAAGGCTTTGGGCGCCCCTCCCGAGATGGCCACCTGCAGCTTTCAGCCCCGGCCTCTGGGTACCGACCCCTGCAGAGTGCGCTGAGGACCAGTCTGTCCGGCACGGACCGCCCACCACGCATGGCCTTAGGCTTGCTGGGCTCTATAGGGCGGGGAACCTGTCACCGACTCAGGAGACCTGGCTTCTTGTGCAGCATCACAGGCCCCCAGAGCGTGGCATCGAGCTGGTGTGAGACGTGGCTGTCAGGCGTGGCTGTCCAGTCGTGCACTTGGTCTGAGCGCTTCCTGTCCCAGGCCCCATCCCCAGCCGCTCTGACCTCTGCATGGAGCCGCCCCCAGAGCCTGAGCCGCTGCCCCCACGCCCCATGCTCCTGCCCCCACAAGCCAGCGCCAGGCTAGGTCAGCGCAGCGGGGAGCCGGGCTGGAAGCAAGCCTGTGAATGGTGACCCCAGAACTGCCCTGCCCTGAAGGGCGCACTCCGCCCTCCCCCCACCCACCCAACTCAGCACCGGAGGCCTGGCCAAGGCGGCCCTGAGCTCAGCAGTCGGGGGTGGGGACACAGCGTGCCTCAGAGGAGGAGGTGGGGTGGGGGCACTGCCCCTGGGAGCCCCAGGAGGCCCCAGGAGTCAGAGGCACCGGCCACTGCCCTCCCCTCCCCCAGCGCTGCCCCCCCCAAGCACCCCAGACCCCAGACCTGTGCTGACAGATTGACGTAGCAGGTTAATAAGTGCTTCTCTTCCTCCTGAAGGCTAATTAAATATTAATCGGCCTGGTGAGGTCAGCAGAAATCGCTTGGTGGTGGCGGAGTGAATGCGTTTAATTAATTCTCCCGCAGAGGTCTGAATGGGGGCCCCACGAGCCCCCTGCTGCCGCCCACACCTGCTCGGCCTCTGCTCCCTCCCCCGCCGCTT